ACGCAACTGGGAGAAGAGACAGCCCCAAACAGATGCACCGTCATTCTGTATTCCTGGTCTCTCTGGTGAAGTCTCCCTCTGGCCACCAGAGAAAACAAAGGAAATCTCGGTCTTCTTCTGTGACTTTGACCTGGTGAAACATAGCCCGTATGTCGCCCATGAATGCCACAGGTTCCTGCCTGAAACGAGTGAGAACTCCAAGCAGTGAACTGGTGAGGTTGGGACCTTGATAAAGTACATCGTTTAATGATGTTCCTTTAAATGTGGCACCACAATCAAACACCACTCGGAGAGAGCCTTTTCATGGATGGTAAACACTGTGGTGTGGGATGTTCCATAATTTTCCACTGCCACAGTGCTGCTGTGTTGGTACCTGTTCAGCATAACCCTTTTCAATCACTCCATTCAGAAAGCTGGCATATTCCTTATGCAACATTGGGTTACACAAATATTTTCCTCAATCCAAGTAGCCTTTGCTTTGCCACTGCAAAGTTGTTTGGAAGAAGGACGTCAGGTGTCTTAAGGGGCAACTTCAGGCTGTACCTGTTGTCCTGTAGTGTTGCAGATGTATTCATGATTTCCATACATGTTTGGTCTTCCCTTGACATCTCTTTTTCCTCTGAGGGCTTTTCATTAAAGTCATGATTATACTGACTGCTAAGCATGAGCTCCAATTTGGAAATATAAATCCTATTCACCACAACAGAAGAAAGCTCCATGTCAACATCGCTGCCATTGCTGCTTCCATGTAAAGGACCATTGATGACCCATCCCAACACTGTTCTTATAGCGTATGGGCCATTTCCACAACTGTTGACAATTTCCCAAGGTTCCAATATCTTGGGAGCGTTGGTTCCAATCAACATGTCAACATTGGCATTTATGCTGCGGATATGAACTTTTGACAAATGATTCCACCTCTTCACATCTGCGGCTATAGCAATGTTTTCTTTGGTTACTGGCATTTGCTTCTGTGTGAGGACTTCTGGAAGAGGATAAAAGTTATTTTCTTCAAGACCAGATACCTCCATCCCTGTGATGTTTAATCTGTGCATGAGATCTTCTGAGCAGAATGTGGCTGTGCTTCCAGGATCTAAAAATGCATAGGTCTGTATAATCTCACATCCCTTTGTGGACTTGACCTGCACTGGAATGATTGAAAGAATGCAGCCATCATTTCCGGCCCCTGTACGTCCACATGTCTGAGGGGGTGTTTGTGATTTAGCGGTTTGTCCCAATTCCTCATTAGATGTATTTATGTGGAGCGCAGTAGGATGTTGCTTTTCACAAACCTCACAGATAAAGCGTTGTTTACAGTCCCGGCGTATGTGTCCAATACACAAGCATCCAAAGCAAATTCCTTTCTCCTTTAGAAATATAATTTTGTCTCTGTGCTTCCTTTTGCTGAACTGCTTACATCTGTCCAAAACGTGAGTGTTGTGATCACAACAATGACACACCAAGCTCTCCTGTGGTTTTGAGTTGTTTGTCGTTTTAATTCCGACCACACTCATTGGGAATACTGTAGCGGCAAAACTACTTCCTTTCATTCTGTTCTTTGATTGTGGCTGAAACATGTTGGAAGATTTTATAGCAACTGATTTATGTCCTGAATCCTCGATGTCTCCAAAGATCGGATCAGAAAGGACTCGTACATGTCTCTCAATGAATTTGACCAAGTCAATGAAATGAGCTCTGTTGTTTGAGGCTTCCAGGGTTTCCCACACATAGACTATACTTGGGCGGGCCGCCCAGGTATATTAACGGCCGCCCAAGTATATTTCGCGACCCATTTAGTTTTTTTTTTTTTTTTTATACATTTTTTTTTTATATATTTTTTTTATTCGTCCGTGACCACGACGCCATCTGCGATCGATGAACTTGTAGACAATGATCCCTCGCTCCCTTGCTCTGATCTCGCCTCCTTCTGGCCTGTTAAGTGGCCTGCCTCACACAGCGTGACTGGCTGTCCACATGATGTGGCCTGCCGACATGGCCACTGTCATACAGATCATAAATCAAAGCCCTTGATTGGTCTCTGTGTGTCATTCAAGCTCGGGATAACCTCAGCTCAGGTGAGGTAAAGGACTCTGAGTGTTTAGATAGTTAACTTAGTCTAAGTTCTCAGTGGGTTTCAAACGGTGTGGTCACCATTTATGTAAACACATATTTCCATTTGAGAGGGTAGTGATTGGTCTAATGGATAGTGAGGTGGGCTGAAGATCGGAGTTCAAATCCCGCCAGGAACACCACCACCAGTGTGCCCTTGAGTAAGGCACTTAGCCCTTAGTTACTCCAGGGAGAATGTCTCTGTAATCGGTCATTATAAGTCGCTTTGGATAAAAGCGTCAGCTAAATGAAATGTGATGTGATTAGTAAAATATGCATGAATAAATAAATAAAAAGTTAACTAGGTGAAAAAAGGTAAGATACTTTTAAAACTTGTTGAGAGAAAACTAGTCTTTGCTGCTGCCTCAAAGAGGAGCAGGGGGAGAAGATGGAGAGGGGGGAGAGGAGGGAGACAGGAGAGGCTGATTCAGGAGCACAGACACACTCACAACTATAAATGAACCAAAACTAAATTAATAAACAAGTTTCAGTGTTTTTTTCATATTGGAAATGGTATGTTATTGGTTATGGCCTTGATTTTATGATTATTGAAATGTATACAGTTCTGTTAAATATAGGTGTTTCCATAGATCTAGTCTCTTTATTTTCCCCTCAAAATGCACCAGATTGATGCATTTAACTCCAAAATAAAAAATAAAATCTTACCGGGGGGGCATGCCCCTGGACCCCCCTAGAGGATTTGAGGTCGACCCCCACTAAAAATCACATGGATAGGTTCCTAAATACATTAATAAATACATTTATTTTTTAAAATAGTAATCCATTTCCATATGTTCATGTGTGGGTAGTAGATTTAAACTATAGGGCTATCATTATGGACCCTGCCTGTACCTGTACCTGTACCTGTTCGCTCTGCCATCGCGTGAAGGGTCTGCTAACAAGCGACCAACAGAAAGGTTAATGTTGTTGCACGTCACCTCAACCCCCCCCCCGCTACCACCACCCCCCAAAGTATATTTCAGATCTGTGGGAAACACTGGCAGTTAATGGACCAGCACCAGAGGCATTCCCATACACACAGGCGTTGGAGCTGTTCTTCATGAAATCCCAGAAGGATGAAGTGCTCTGACAAACAGTGCCATCTTTGCGCAAAATGATTATACCGGAATGAAAAGTCAATAAATAATGTTGTTAAAAACTTTTTTTTTTTTCGCGCACCCCCCCCCTTGCCACCACCCGCCCAAGTATATTTCATATCTGTGGGAAACACTGGGCTTCCATGATGTTATGAGCTTTGTTTCTCCATTGTTCCCTTAGTTTGTTTGGCAACTTGAAGACAACCATTTTCATATTGGAGGGCATATCCAACTCCTGCATGTACTGAAGTTCTTCCATCACATTAGCACATCCACGCAGAAATAAAGCATAGGCTTGAAGTGCTTTAATGTCTTCTGCCTTTGTTATTGTTGGCCAAGCTAGAGCCTTTCCTATGTAAGCAGCAGCAGCGATCTTGTACTCATTCCCAAAATGTTCTTGCAAAAGACCCTTTGCCACAATGTAGCCACGTTCTGGAGCCATGTGCTGGCAGCTACGAACCAGTTCCTGTGGCTGTCCTTTTGTGAACTGTTCTAAATAGTACAAGCAGTCGGCTTTGCTGGCTTTGTTTTCCACTCCTTGTTCAAATGCTTTAATGAAAGCCTTGTACTGAAACAGGTCTCCATCAAAGATAGGAATGTCTCTTGCTGGTAGAGACAGTAAACGTTGCTGGTGAACCAGTGCAGCTGTTATTTCATTTTGCTTTTGCATTATCGTGAATAAACCTTCAGGTGGAATTCGATTGATTTGCTGATGGTGATTTTCCTGTTGACTTTCCCATGCAGTTGATTCACCAGTTATCAACCCATGTGATGTTCCCAAATAATGTTGATTTTGTACATAATCATCTTCCTTAAATGCAAACTGCCTTTCAGCTTGCTTTGGTTCCATGTCCATCTTTGTTGGTTTGCTGGAGGATATTTTCCATGATGTGGAATCATACTCCTTTGCCAGGGGGTTAAGTATGTTTAACGATGCAAGTTTCCTTTTTTCCTTTTCCAGGTATGAGTTCATTCCATTTGTTGGTGCAAGAGAGGAACGTCGTGAATGTGAACCCTGTAAAACTGCTAGCCTAGCAGTAGATACAGCTAGCTCAGTTTCCAACTCAAGCTGTTCCTTTCTCCACTTTAATTGTAGCTTTAATTGTAGCTCTTGTTCCTCCAGTGCATGCCTCTCAGTTAAACCTGCCATGCGAGCAACAATTGCAGCCTTTTCTGCTGCTGCTATAATTTGTGCAGATGAAGTTGTACTTGACTTTGTACTGCTGTCACTTTTGTTTGAACATTTACCAACATTAGCAACACTGTCATCAGGGTTGATTTCATCATTATTATCACCAGTACCTTCAGTTTGACAAACCCACACCTTGATTTTGGCAATACATTCATCATTGAACATCATTTTGGCTTTAAACCATGTTTCATGTCTTTCCCTTTCATCATGTGGCAATATATTAGATTAGATTAGAATCTTTAATGACCACACAGCCAGGCTGGTGGAATTCGTGTTCAGTGCAGAGTATTACAGCTTGTTCCATACAATTCAACATAATAAACAGACAATAACAATAATAAACCCATTAAAGTGTCATGCCTAGACCTGGCTTCAACACACAATTCAATATAACCATCAAGAGCATTTTGAACCTTAGCATGTTCACCATTTAACATCAAATCTTTTATATTTGTTCTAGCTTTATTTAGCTTAGCCTTTCTGCCATTTTGCAACCTCTCAAGTTTTTACGCAAGTGCTTTGGCAGAGAGTTTAACTACCCGCTTAGTGCTTTGCGCATCACTACAGCTGGCCACGCTATCCAGCTTGCCAGCTGCTGGTGTGACACTTGGGTCCTGCTTTGCTGTTGCTTTTTGTACTTCACCGGAGTCAGTTTGAGATATCAATTAGTTTATTCTGCAAACCATGGAATAAACACACAGATCCACAGTTTAGCCACAGTTCAGTGAGATGTTGCTCTACAAAGGAAAGTTTCACGTCAGTAACGTAAATGCCACGTGCACTCCTCCACAACGTTAGTGGCTAACTAGTTAGCGGCTAACTAGTTAGCTGGAAAACGGCTCACTCTCAGTTTATGTACAATTCTTTTAAAAAGTGATACACTACAGAATCTAAAGACATTTAGCTAACCAATAAATGCACATAGATTATACACAAAATAGTACACGTAGATCACAATTATTATTATATCTACAACTGAGTGAACAGAGCAACAACTCACCCAAGCTAAGAATCCTCTAATACTGACGGATTCCCAAAATGCACCACATTCAGCGCAACACTAGCTTCCGGTTGCGGCTTTTCAAAATAAAATAAAATAACAAAATTATGGCTGTAGTCCCAGTTTAACAGGATTTAATAAAACAAACATTCATTATTTACACTGTTACATACACCCCCCTTAAATTCTGTTAAACTCCAGGCAAATACTGAACATCATCAAGACAAGAGGGTAAGAAAAATAAAAAAATATTTGTGGTGGTTGTTTAAGGTGAAACCAAATCAAAGACACAAATTACAGTCGATACAAAATCCTCCCATAGGGAGTGAAAAAGGATAGGGAGGTACCAGGCCCAATACCTTTCTCAGACCAGCAGAAGATGCCATTTACACCTTCAAAGCATCTCATCTAAGGCAACACACATAGCATACCCACAAATCTACAAACGCATACAAATACTACTCGGATATAACCCATAAAAAAAACTGGTAGAGTATCCTGACTGCTTAAACCTCAAATATCTTAATAAACTGAACTAGTAACAGATGAGGTATCTTCAACCTTCTGTGCTGCCATCTCATATATCAACTTTTTAGGAGGTTTGACATGCCTCCCACATCTAGTAGTGACTGAACCACCACAGCCCGCATGAACACTATGGGGTTGCGTGCAAATAGCATTGGTTTCATCAACAACTTCTGTGAAAGTTAAACGAGAAACACCAACTGAGTCTGGGTCAGTCAAGTCAGCAGCACTCACAGGGTCTGGGTCAGGTGGTAGAGTCACACTGTCAGGGTCTGGGTCGGTTGGTAGAGTCACACTGTCAGGGTCTGAGTCAGATGAGTGAGCATCACTGGCAGGGACTGGGTCGGGTGAGTGAGCATCACTGGCAGGGACTGGGTCAGGTAAGTGAGCATCACTGGCAGGGACTGGGTCAGATAAGTGAACATCACTGGCAGGGACTGGGTCAGGTAAGTGAGCATCACTGGCAGTGACTGGGTCAGATAAGTGAACATCACTGGCAGGGACTGGGTCAGGTGAGTTCATGAGCCAGTCCACAGTGCGATCGTAGCCATCTTCATTGTCCACATGCACAGAGACTTGACCACTTCCACATTCCTCATCCCCATTATCTGAGTTGACAAACGAGGCAGGAGTTTCAACCTTGTCCATGAAAAGAAAGTCAACCGGGAGAAGCAGGTTCCGATGCACAACTCTCTCTTTTCCAGATTGGGCATCTCTTATCCTGTACACGTTAATCCCAGCCCTCACCGACACAACATCATAGGGCGTAGAAATCCACTTGTCAGCAAGCTTTCTTTTGCCCCTCTCACCACGGTTGGCCAACAAAACTCGATCACCCACAGCCAGCGGAGAACCCTTGACTTTGTGATTGTAAAGCCGAGCATGACGGGCTTGCTCCTTAAAGCTGTGATTTTGAGCAATCCTTGCAGCTTCACACAAGTCCTGTCTCAACTGAGAGACAAACTCATTATGGCTGACCACTCTTTCATCCTGAAGCCCATGCTGGAACACAATGTCAATAGGGAGACGTGGCACCCGGCCAAACATGAGGTAAAAAGGGGCAAAGCCAGTTGTCTCATGTACTGTGCAGTTGTAGCAAAATGTCAGCGTCTGTAACACCCGGGGCCACCTGGCTTTCATTGTTGGGGGAAGGGTTCTCAACATATTCCCCAGCGTCCTGTTAAAGCGTTCTGTCACGCCATTACCCATGGGGTGGTAAGGTGTGGTGTGTGACTTTTGCACCCCCGCCACTTCCAAAAGTTCCTTAATTAGTCTGCTCTCAAAGTTGGCACCCCTGATCTGAATGGATTCTCTTGGGAAAGCCGTATACACAGAAGAAATCATTCCATAACCGGCAAGCAACATGTTTTGCAGACTGACTCCGACAGGGGAAAGCATGTGCCATTTTTGAGAAATGGTCAGTGACAACCAATACATCAACTGTCTTCTTGTCACCAAGTTCAGCTGTCCAAAAGTCAATGCACACCAGTTCCATAGGTTCGGATGTCTGAATGCTTTCCAGAGGCGCCCGGGCTTCGGGTTTCAAGTGTTTTTGCCAACAACACATCTCTCACATCGTCGCACATGGTCATTTATATCTCTTTCCATGCCAGTCCAAAAAAACCTTTCCCTAGCAAGGGACAGTGTTCTCGCACGGCCCTGATGACCAGCATTGTCGTGGAGGCCAAGGAGAATCTGAGGCTTGAGATCATCCGGCACAATGAACTGGAAAAGCTTTTTGTTCAGTCGATGGCATGTTCTCATTCTGTACAAAATTCCATTGTGGACTTTAAGCTTTCTCCAGTGTCTGAGGAGTTTTCTGACGCCGCCTGGTTCAGATGTTGCCTCGCGTCTGGTAGGTTTCCTCTTTTGATGCATATAGAACAGGACCCTGCTTATGGTCTTGTCTTGCTCCTGGAGATTCAAAAGCTGGCTCTGAGGAATAGGAGTGGAAGAGTCTTCCTCAGGCAACTGTGGCAGTGATAAGTTAGCACTGGGTAGGCCACGATCACCATGAGCCCTCAATGCAGCTGGCACTTCTTCTGAGCTGATGGAACTTCCCACAGACTGGTGAACAGGCCCAGCACCAAGGTCAGATGACGTTGACCGAGTGTCTTGGACAACCTGGCAGTTGTTTGTCAGCCGAAAAACATCCTGCACTGTGCCCTTGACAACTCCATTGACTTCGTCCAGTAGTGCAACATATGGCTCTTTCACCAAGTGGTAACCAACACATGACTGGACAAAAGGCTCACGGCTCAAGGCATCTGCAACAATGTTTTTAACACCCGGAACGTACTTAAGATCGAAGTTGTATGCTGCAAGCTTGGCCACCCACCTTTGTTCACAGGCATCCAAACGTGGTTTTGTCAGAATGTACGAAAGGGGGTTGTTATCTGTCCAAGCGGTGAAATGTCTCCACTTCAACCAATGGCTGAATTTGTCGCACACAGCCCACTTCAGCGCCAAAAACTCCAGCCTGTGTGCTGGATAGTTCATTTGAGACCGGGTCAGCGTCTTACTTGCAAAGGCGACAGGCCGTGCAACTGTCTCACCAGGTGACACTTGTGACAAGACGGCTCCAATACCATCAAAAGAAGCATCAACAGCGAGGATGAAAGGCTCATTGAAGTTCGGGTGAGCCAACGTGACACCATGAGTGAGCTCACTTTTCAGAGTTTGTAATGATTCCTGACACGCAGGTGTCCAGTCATTAGACGTTAGAGCTGCTGGGGCCGAGGACTTTTTCTTGAATTTCTTGCCTTTCTTCGCATGTGATTGAACTTGTCGACCAGAAATGAGTCTGAACAGAGGTTTGGCCTTCGCAGAGCAATCGGCAATGAAATGCTGATAATAGAAGACCATGCCCAAGAATGACCTGATCTTCTTCCAGGAAGGCGTGACACCATCGCTCTCCATCAACTCTGCTTCCCCCACATCAGCAATGGTCTTCACTTTGTCAGGGTCTGTTCTCACCCCATCTGGAAAAACAATATGACACAGAAACTTAACTGAACTCTTCAAGAGATGACATTTCTTAGGGGCCAGCTTGAGGTTGTGATTTTTCAGATGGGAGAACACCATTTCCAGACGTTCAAGAGCCAGCTGTTCATTAGGGGCAAAAACCATCACGTCGTCAAGGTAACAGAGTAAGCTGCTGAAGTTTTCATCTCCGAATATTGACAACATCATCCGCATGAAGGTTGCGGGACTGTTGGACAGGCCTTGAGGCATCCTATTGTACTCATGGAGGCCGAAGGGTGACGAAAAGGCTGTGTACTTTTTGTGCTCCTCATGAAGTGGCACGTTGTAGAACCCAGAAGTCAAGTCCATGGTAGAGAAGAAGACATTTCCTCCCAGTGCAGCAAGAGCATCAGCTTGATGAGGCAATGGGTGTGCGTCTTTTACAGTCTTTGCATTGATCCATCTGAAATCATTACAAATGCGCAGACTGCCATCCTTCTTCCACACCAAGACCAATGGGGATGCATACTCACTGTGAGATTTCCTGATTATGCCCTTTTCCTCCATCTCATTCAGTGCAGTCCTCAGCTTCTCATACTGGCTTGGTGGAACCCGGCGGTAAGGCAAGCGAAACGGCCTCTCATCCACAAGGTGTATTTTGTGGACAAAGTCTGTAGCCTCCCCACAATCCATCTTGTTTCTGGAAAAGATGGACTCATACTTCTCAAGAAGCTGAAAAAGTCTATCTTTCCACTGCTCAGACACCTCACAATTCTCCAAGTCCAAATCTTGTAGCCCCAGCTTGTTTAGAGCGTCCTTTCTTTGTTCAGGGGTCTTTGTTGTTGAAGAGCACTTTGAGACACTATGGCTATTGACTGAAACCTTTTCAGCTGGGGGCAGCTCTTCAACTGCAACACATGGGAAGACATCTGCAATCTTACAGTTTCTCCTCAGAGTCACCGGCTCACTGCTTGGGTTAATCAGTTTGAGGGGAACCCACCTGTCACCCCACAGAGGTGTGACTACACGGCCAACCAACACATTTCTGGGCCTTGATCTTGAGTTAGTCGGTTCAACAACCACTGTGCTCCCCACTGACAAAGGTGCTGATGCGGGCAATTTTCCCCAGACAAGGTGTTCACACAGTGGTTCAAGAGTAACACTCTGCCTCAACTTCACTGTGCCGATCTTGTCAGGCAGGGGTCCCCCACGCCATTTCTCAGAGTTGGAAAGCAGGGACAAAAATTGGCAACAATCATCATCTGCAATGTCAACTGGTGTAGCCAGAAGTCTCCAATAATCGTCAGACTTTTTCATCAGATGTATGAGAATCTTGATAGCATTACTACCAACAATCATGTCGTCTGTTTGTCCAGGGATGACTAATGTTGGGATGAGCAACTTGAACCCATAGATTGTCACCTCCAAATCATAGACTGCTGTCGGGTAGATATGGTGACCACCAGCACCAACAACAACAATGTCATCAGCAGGACTTCTCTTCAAATCAGGGCATTGCTGCAAGAGGCGTGCAGCTGCAACTTCGCTCAGAGAGCATGACATAGAGCCACTATCAATCATGGCTTTCAGTGGAACTCCACTTGCAGCACTAACATTTGTGTAGAACAAGCTGTCGGATTTCTGAAGTTTCTGCGTCATTTGGAAAATGACAGTCTTTCCAGACGGTGCAAAGGAACAAAGAGATTCATACAAAGACTCCAAGTCATCACTGTCACAGCTGGGAGGGTCACTATCATGATCCACACTGTCCTCCCTGAAGTGCGGACCCATTAGTTTTCCGACTGTGGGGGAGCCGCAAGCGACGTACGACCAGGACAAGTAAGCCTAGAATGGTTCGGTGAGTGGCACTGAAAACAGAGTCTATGGTCACGACAGTGGTTGAAAGTAGAGTGTGCAACGTCATGACAAACAGAGCAAGGCGTCTCATGCAGCCCTTCAATCCTGGGACGTCTTGGGCCAGACTGTCTGGCTGGACTCGACTGAACAGGCCTCTGCAGAAGCACCTTCTCCAGCATGCCAATAAGGCGTTCCAGGGTAGCAGAGTCTGTGGCGTGTGCTTGTGGTGCACCCTGTTCCCCGGTAGGTGGCATGTGTGGCATAGGGGTAGTATGCTGTGTGTTCACCCTTACCTTCTCTTCAGTTACCTTACTCATCCTGGATGTCTTCACTGAATAATACTCATCTAAGATGTCCTGAACCTCATGAGCAGTCCATTTGTCCATCGTCTTGGACCGAAATGTCATAGAAAGCTCAAGGGAGGGACAGTTCCTTATGAACATTCGAGTTACTTCTGTGCCAGGACTATCGAGCGTCTTGCCCTGCTCCCTGAGACGCTCAATGGCAAGATCCACAGCACGGTGCAGCCTGAGCCAGTAGTCAAATGCATCCTCACCTTTCCCAGGCAGTGTGGTGTAAAAGTCTGCTAAAGGGAGCTGTGAGCATGGTGCAGAGTCAAAGTGCTTTCTCAGGAGACCATAGATAGCTTCAAGTTCACGTGTGATGTCTATGTCACTGTTTCTGGTACCAAACCTGACCACGTCTTTTGCTTTGCCTCTTAGATGGGTAAGGATCTCCTCAGCCTGTTCCTCAGGTCTCAGGTTGTTTTTCCTAATGAAATCCCTCATGAGTTCCTCCCACTCTCTGACTGAAGTGAAATCAGAGCTGTCTCCTTTAAAGCATGGGGGATCTTTTAGCTTTCTGTGGGATACAAGCTGCATGTGAGAGGCACCAAGCACGTTTGAAGTCGACATGTCAACATTTACTGGTGAGGTGGCAGTATTGGTCAGAGGGGCACTAAGAGATGGGCTTAGTTGAGTCATAATGTTCTGTACTACTTTCTGACTAACCTGCTGAAGTACATCTCCCATCTGATTAGCAATCTCAGTAGCAAGGGCATCAGGGCTAGGAATAGCAGTGCTTGCATAACGAGGCTGATGTAAAATGCCTACAGAGGGGCTAAGAGAAGGGGCTACATCCCTACTGGCCAAAGTGAACCCTGGCAAACCCTGACTATCCCCCATTACAATACCACGCCCACAAACAGGGGTCTCAAACATAGGAGAACCCAACATTCCCCTCCCCCTGCCAAAACTAGTTCCCCCCCAGATTAAAAGTCATCACGAAAAGAAAAAAAAGACAAAGATATTCAAAATACAAATGTCAAGCACAGATCAGTAGCAGAAAAAAAAAACTAAAACAAACGCCACATGTGCTATATATATAGAGCCAAAGTACTGTGTCCACCTGACAACACGGAGGAGCAGCAACAGCAGAAACAGTCCCCGGGCCGGGCTGAAG